CTCCGTCAGTCACCCTTCTCCCCTTCTTTCTCTCCTTCCTTTCTTCTGTCACCCTTCTCCTTCCTTCTTCTCATCTTCCTTTCTTTCCTCTGTCAATCACTGTTCTTCCCTTCCTCCTCTCCTTCTTTCCTTCCTTCCTTCTTTCCATCACTCTTCTCTCCTTCCTTCTGTCTGTCACCCTTTTTTCCTTCCTCCCTTCCTTCTGCTCGCAACTGTCCTGCCCTGCTTTGTTCCTCCACCCCATCCCCCGCTCTCTTATTCCCATCGGAATAACACTGCAAGGGACCCCCGCCTTATAAAAAGACATTTCATCGTGAATAAAGGGGGAAATGCGAACATTAAAAGAGCTGAAGGGGTCAAAAGGAGAATAGCAGGGAGGGGCCCCCCAAAAGCAAGCGGGGCGGGGGGAGGACAATGAATAGAGGAGGGGCATAGCTGGGAAGCCCCTTTAAGGAGAAAGATGGATGTGAACTTGGTGGATAAGGAGGAAGGGAGGCTGAGGAAGGAGAGAAAGAGCCAGAAAAAAGAAACTGGGCTTTACAAAGCATAAATAAATGTGGGCAGAAGACCCTTAGAGGTCAGCAATTTTAAAATGTCTGGACTTCAACTCCCAGAATTCCCCAGCCAGCCTGCTGGCTGAGGAATTGTGAGAGTTAAATTCCAACCCTTTTAAAAATTGCTGAGGTTAAAAAAAAACCTGCCCTTGAAGATAATGTTCTTCGAAAGCCTGAGGAAAGACTTTTAAATGCAATTAAAGATGGCTAAGCCTGATTCCTTGCTGTGTTTAATTTGGAAACTTAAATCCTGGGTTCAGCCGGAGTACTAATCCTTGCTTGCTTGGGAGTAATAGAGCTAAACCCTACGAAAGGCATTTTCCAAAAGGTTAGGCTACCGGAAAGCTGCAAATCAATGAACTTTTAGCTTTGGGGGATATTCCCATAGTTTAAGGCAGGTATGCAAAGAGAATTTGAGTCTATGGATGGTGCAATATTCCAATTCTAGGTTAATTGGCAAATAAGAAATGCAAAAAAATAAATTAAAGATGTCTTATTATTGGACTTTCTTCAAAACATTTTGCTTCTCATCCATCCTTTATTTCTGTTCTTCAACCATGACCTGGATGATTGGGAATCTCCAGGGATATATTTTACTACTGTATTTAAATTTAAATTTACAATGAGGGTTATCCCATGTTCCATAGGATTGGAGGGGGGGATTTTCTCTAGAATTTAGAGCTTTCCAAACGACTTTGGGTGTGCCATAAATTTGCCTAGTTGCTCCGATGGTGCATACAGTGTAGAGGAGCGACAGGATTTGGGTGTGAAGTCCAGAGACATGTTGTGTGCAGATAAAAATAATAAGTGCTTTTATTACGATACTGGTGCCTCTGTATTTAGTTCTGTTTTAAGGACTAACAAATTACAATTTTGCCTTTCTGTATTATCAGATGTCTTTCTTTGGATGTTGGAAAAACTATTGAAATATTTTTGAAGGGAAATATTCTTACCTGACCTTCAAAGGTGTAACAAAGCTGTTTTGAAAACATCTCTCCTTCACTTTTAGCATTTGTAAAAGCCTGCTGTTTAAAAGGCATACGTTGTTTATGAAATGTTTTACACAAAGGACTTTCTTCAAATAGGGCTCACAATTTTCCCTTTTCCTGGCTGTCTTGATTGATGATGCAATATCTGAGACATACATTCATTTAAGCCAAGATATTTATTCTCCAAATTGTTTGTTTTTAAATTATGAATCACAGCCCTGATTTCTTGGCTTTGGATGCAATGAAAATGCAGCTGTTGTCACATCCTGTCATTTTAAGTCAGTTTTACGTCAGTTTCAAAGTGTGGAAAAGGCATATCTTTTTTTTTTTTAAAGACAAATTCATAATGAACCATTGGGACTATTGTGTTTGCTTAAGATAACCAGTTAGAAATATTGTACCAGTTGCAACATCTAAATTGCATATTCAGCTAGAAGATTATATTATCTGAGAGGTAGAAATTTATCAACAATCATGCACACTGTTTCCTTCACAACAATTAACATTGCAAACCTGTTTTCTTTTATGGTACTCTGAACTTTGGTCTAATTTTTGCAAGCTCTTCCTGCCGTTTAATATTGGGACTGTGGCATTTTATTATTCATTTTCCAGACTTGGTGGCAGGTCATGTTATATTATGGCTTTACACGATGTTTCAGACTGATTATTTCTTGTGTGGTACAGGTAAACCCCGACTTACAACAGTTCATTTAGTGACCAAAGTTGCCACAGCAGTGGAAAAAGGTGATTTACGGCCGTTTTTCACACTTACGACCGTTGAAGCCTCTTCATGGTTACGTGATCAAAATTCAAAGGCCTGGCAACTGGCTCATTTTTATGACGGTTGCAGTGCCCGTCAAAGGGGAAACCAGATTCACTCAATGACTGTAGTAATAACTTAACTGCAGTGATTCACTTAACAACCGTGGCAAGAAAGATCATAGAATTAGGCGAAGCTCATTCAACAAACCTCTCACTTAACAGAAATGTTGGGCTCAGTTGTGATCGTAACTCAAGGACTGTCGGTAGTCCTTGAGTCAGGTGTATTTCTGAATGTCTCTCAAATTTCATATTCTTGCTTAGCGCTTCGCGACCTCCAAGCTGTAAGATAATGTAACATTGTAAGATAATGAGAAGATGAATTCCTTTGCTAGTTATCCACTCAAGATGACCATATAATTTTGCTGAGTACCTTCAATTGAACTTCAGTTCGCCTTAAAATTGAAACATTCTGGTAAAAACGCTAAGACATGCAGCTAATTTAGCTTCAATATTCTCCGGAGGAATGTTTCATCCGAAATAGGTTCCGCAGACTTTAGCACCAGCGATGTGTTGAAAAGAGAGATACACAACTTCAGGCGGTAGTACATTTTTGGAGTACGTAGGTGGATTGTTTTTGTAATAGTAGAAGTAGACTTAAGGGGATTTTCCACAGCTTTGTAATTGATGATCAAAGATACCATTGAAGTCTCGCTGGAATTGGAACAGCAGCTATGAAACTATGTGGAAGGAAACGTGGGAAAATGGATTTCTGCTACCAGGTGTATCTGTGTAGTATGGAGCTCTTGACTCCCATTCAAATTTAGAACTTGAATACATCCGGAGGAGAATCAGATTGGAGAAAGGGATCTCATCAAATAACAGTTCTCAACTTATGACCAGAATTTCCATCGCTAAGCAAGACACTATTAAAATGAATCGCACCCAATTTTACAATCATTTTGAATGTTGCTCGAGACAGATCACAGAATATAATAATAGCGTGGAAGTTATTGGTACGCCAGTAATGATCTTTGAACTATTAATTTGGGCAAATCATCACCATCTGTGTTCCTGACAATTCTGCAGATTGTTAGAAAGGATTACACCAAATTCTGGCTCGACCGTTTTGCAGAAAGCATCAGTGATAGCTTTACAGTCCGTCTTAGATCAAGAACCATAGCTTGTAGTCACCAAAGAAGATAAATTGTCCCAGCTTTGAGGTCTCTGACCTTTTATGAATCCCAAATATGTTTCCTAGAATTTTTACACAAAGGTGCAATAGAGAAATTACAACGCATCAGTCTGTTTTAAGGTTTGATGTCCCTTGTTTGGTTTCCAATCAATGTATGTGTGTGTGTGTATATATCTCCTATTTCAAATTGTCAAAGTTGTAGCAGTTTTTGTAGCATCAGTGAGCTGCTTTCAAAAACATTTAATTTGCAAACAAAAAACAAAAAAGCATTTAAGTGCAAACATTTAACCAAAACAGAGCAAATGGAGAACTTAAAATTAAGCAGAAGGACATGTTGAGGTGCTACAGTTGTTCTGAGGCATTTAGTTTCTCCAAGAGATTGTTTATTCTGTTGTACTATTTGTCAACATGACAACCTTTGGAATGAATTTCACCACCGGTCAACCAAAATATTGTGAACAGCAAAAGTTCTTTTGCATGCTATACAGGTAATGGGAAAAGATTTTAAGCTCCTTAAGTCTTTTTTTTTTTTTTTTGCAATCTGCCAGTTCTTTGCGTGATGAAACTTGTACCAACTTAATACCAGCAAAGTTGGCCTGTTTAAAAACAACTTGCATTCCCTGGGAGCAAGCCAGCATTTTAACACCAAACATTTAGGCAAGGAACAAAAGCGGTGTTTTGAAACCGTTTGTTCTAAGGGCCACACAGTAAAACGTTATCTTGTTCGTTTCCTGCCTTTGTGGCTGTTAATTCTACGCGTCTCTGTAGATTGGTTAATTGAATACAAAAGAAATGGGTGAAAAATAGAATTACCTGGTGCAATCTGTTATCAAAACCTATCCTGAAAGGACTTCACGATCTCTGCACTTTGTCACATTTCAGTGAGACACTGAAGGGCTAAGTAAGAAGCATAGATTAAACTTTAGATAATAAAGCAACTTTGATATCTGTTACCCCAAACAAACCCGCTATAGATTCTGAAATGTGCCATTAATCTCTGTGAATGAAGCAAACCTTTATTCCTTTAGAACAGGGGTGTCCAACCTTGGCAACTTTAAGACTTGTGGACTTCAACTCCCAGAATTCCTCAGCCAGCTTTGCTGGCTGAGGAATTCTGGGAGTTGAAGTCCACAAGTCTTAAAGTTG